TCTGTTCTCTGCACCTCCATCACTGTCTGGTTTGGCTCAGCAACCAAACAGGACAAGTACAGATTCCAGCAGACAGTCAGGACTGTAGAAAAGGTCACTGGTGTGAGCCTGCCCTCCATGGAGGACCTGAACACCTCACAGGTCAAAAGGAGGGCAGAGAGGATCACTGCAGACCCCTCACACCCTGGACACAATCTGTTTGAACTCCTCCCCTCTGGACCTCTGGATGGTTCACTATGCACTAAGACAACCAGGCACAGGGACAGTTTCTTCCCCCAGGCTGTCGGTTTCATGAACACTTGACCCACGACAGTATGACTGGACAATAACCCTCAGTGCAATACCTGTAAATATACATTGTACAGATTATACAGATTCGTACAGGTCTCTAGTTTTAAGTACTCTATTTTTATTCCTATTTATCTCATTTCACAATGAGCATTCCTTTGTTTGTCTGCATTGCTTACTGTCTGTTTATACTGTTTATTTTGCATTGTTTGCTGCTTGTTAATACTGTTTATTTTGGTATACTACACAGCCTTATGTTGTTTTACTGTTTACTTGCCCCTTGCATGGGGATATGTACATGAACATTGAGAGCCGATGTACTCGTCAAATTCCTCGTGTGTCCGACACACCTGGCCAATAAAGCAGATTCTGATTCTGAAAACATGGCCATCATGACAGCTCCCAGAAGTGAAGCCAATGCAATCGCCCCATAGTGGTTGATTGCAGTGTAGGTCATAAATCCTGCCTCCTCTATGTTAGCGGATGGCAGATGAGCTGAACTAAAAACTCAAAGTACAAATCAGACACATTTTTCCCAAAGGTGATTTCTGTGGTTTTTGGTAGATATTATCATGCTGATGTGTGTACAAGTGGCCATTTTTCTGGTATGTTAGTTTTTAATAAGGTATTTTATGATATAAAAAGGGGTGTATTTGGGATGATCAGATAGCTTTGATTGGTGGTCAGATGTTGTCACTCCACCTCTGGCCCTTGCTGTGCAGAATCTGGTTACCAAAAAAAGCAAGATGGCAGCTGCTGTATTCACAGTATTTTGGCCTCACTTTTGCTTAGTGGAGGGAAGTGGTGACACCATATCCCTTGTATATACTGTATGTCAATGCACTTACTCTTATTCTAAAAACATGAGTGGCATTGATCTTCTCATTTAAAACACATGTTGAACTATTCTTAAAAAGGTTTCTAGTTGATGGCACTCCACCACCCACTCCACCCCCAAACTAAAAGAAGTATAGTACAAGCAAGATATCAGCAGTTCATTAGCTAAAACAAGTAGTTTCTCACTTTCTAAATTTAACTAAGAAAACTTAATTCATATTTGAAAGTTGTTCTGTCTCTGAACACTTGCTATATAAAAACAAGAAGCAAAAAAAAACAACAACAACAATGAAAAATTAACAAACACCATGAGATTTGGGCTAAACTGTTGATCATGAAAGGGAAGGAAAGAAAGGCACAAAGACTGCCTGAGACATGGAGCCTGAGAAGAAAGATCCAGAAGAAGACAGCAATTATGTACTGTATTGGTGGCCTGATTCCAACACAATACCCTGAAGGAATCCTCTGAAACTTCAGAAAGTACCAGAGAGAGTACAGAAAGGATACTCCTCACTTTGCGCATTGCTTATACTCTTCTAGTCATCACTTTCAATCTTGTCTTTATCCTTTTACTGTTTGTCTTTCTGCGGTATTCCTCTCTTGTGCTTTCCCATCTTTCTAATTAAATTTTCTATCATCTCGACTCATTTACTGTCATGTTTCTTAAACTCTTACCCTTCACAGTTTTTGCCCTCACTCCAGCTCCACCTACTCTTTGCTCACTCCTCTACTCTTGCTCTCAGGACACAATGTCTCCTAAGTATGAATGTAATGTGAAGTTATTCTTTTTACTGGGGCTGACTGGGCCTGGAAACAAATCAGGACAATCAGCCAACACTGAAACGCACCGGTAAGGGTCAGATGGATGACAGACAAAGGAAAAGAGAGAAACAGAGCCTGCAGAGGACAGCATTTATCTAGCATGCATTAAGACAGACACGAGTAAGACATCAAAACCACCAAAAAAGAAAGAGAAGGACCTCTTTGAATGGGGAGCAGACCTCTGTGATATGGATCATGTGTGTGTATGGTGGTAGAGTCAGCATAATGACTATGGGGATAGTTGTCCTGTACTATCCTTGAGCTCTCCTTGCAGAATCACATGAAGCACCCATCTCTCCTCTGGCATCCCTGCAGGCCCCGATGTGGAACCAAAATTTTAGCAGCAAGCAATCCTGCCCTGGCATGGAGATTAGGACATCATTATTCAACATGTCTGAGAATGTACCCAACCTAGACACTGCATGTGGTATAGAAATGTGACAATCCAGACTGATACAGGCTGAAAATACTGGCAGCTTGGAGTGTAATGATCGAAGTTGAACTCACAGCTGTTACAATATATAGGACAGTCAGTCTGCAGGTCTGGACTTTCATATCCCATCACATTTGCAAATGTGCACTCATAAGTTCAGTCATTAACTGCCACAAAATGGACTGACTGTCAAAAATTAAAATTCAGTTTTACTAAGAAGTCAGCCTCTACATGTATTTCTGAACGGTTTGTTTCTAACAAAATTGCAAGTAACAAAAAAAGTTTTAATTTTCTGTTGGATTTTTGTTCCCCAACAGTGTCAGTACTGTTAATTTAGTCCAATCTCTGTGCATGGGCACAAAAAAATTGTCATACCAGTATCAGGACTGTCACTGCTGGCTGTGGATTAGTCCCAACTATGATTTGAGCACACTATTCTGTGACTCCAAACATTATTACATTCGGATTTGATTTCAACTTAAAAAAAAAAACACACAATTTTTGAAAAAGGAAGCAGACATTCTTCTGTCAAAGAGATGTTGAATTAATAAGTAATAAAATTCATTTTTGATCAACATACAGGATTTGTCACTACACCTTACTTGGTTACTTAGATTTGTGCTCCTGTCATCTTTGCTATTTTCCTTTGTTTTGCAGAAGTTATACAGTATACGCTTGCTTTGAATTGATTCACTATTTCAATCCAAAGATTGAACAGGTCTTACCTGTATGTGAAATAAAAAAAAAAAAAAAGCCAACAACATGGAGCCAGTCTGCTTCAGGCAATGTTTGGTCCAACTGATCCTCCCACCTCCAATTTAACCACCTCAGGCTCTACTTGCTAAAAGCTTTTTCTAGCTCTCCCAAAGGCTGACAAACTTGTTTAGAACACAACTGAGTCTCACTGATGTGTTCTGCTCCCCGAACAGTTTAAACTTTTGGGGGTAAACTCTCCAGGATTCAACTGAACTGTTCAAAAATAAATGTGCAAACAAATTTGAACACATTAGGCTTCTCTCCCTCTTGGTAGCCAGTACTCCTCAGAGGAAACACTTGGTTTTTCTTCCACAAGTTTTTTTCCCCATCAGATAATACCCTCTGTTGAACCCACTGAGCATGATTTAATTTGTATCCCCCTCTACACTGCATCACTTCTTTTTGCCTCCACTGTACCACTCACCCTTTAGTTTTATAGCCCTGTCACCGCATTGATGCTCCGCTTTTCTCTATAAAAGAGAATAAAGTTTGACTTCTATCATTTTCTACTGTGACCAATGATAAGGTCAAATAATACAGCTGCATTTTATGGCACAGTAAGCTATCAGTTTTTCTTTTTTAATAAATCTGCAAAAATGTCAAAAATCCTGTGTTTTTCTGTCAATATGGGGTGCTGTGTGTACATTAATGAGGAACTTATGAACTTAAATGATTTTAGCATATGGCTGCAATATAACAAAGAGTGAACAATTTAAGGGGGTCTGAATACTTTCCGTACCCACTGTAAGTAGAATAAAGAAAGTCCAGTCAGTTAAACAGTGTATTATTTACTTAATTGGCAGGTAAATAATGTGCAGTTGACATTTTATTGCAGGTAGTTACTTTGTTATTACCTACCATTTGTACTTTGTCATACATAAATTACCTGTACATTTCAAAGTACACTTATACCGAGCGATGAAGTCATTTCT